GTTAATTATCTATATTTCACTTTATCTTACAAGTACGTGTTCAAAAAGTATTTAGCCAAAAAATGATCCGTATAGATGTACAGATCATTTTTTACTGGCTGAGAAATATTTCAAGAGATACTTAAGACGATTCTTTAATAAGAATTGGCTGTAAACAAGCCTTAGTGCACTCGCAATCGGTGTGCACTAATGCAAATTCGCTACAAGTCTACTGCACTGAGATGAAAGTCGCCGCGCGTGCGGCGTGGACGAGGGCGGAAAACGCGACTGTAGTCAAAAGTTTATTAATACGGAATATTTAAAATAATTAACACGAGGCTACGGTTCACTCGATGCTGCAAATCTTCGAAGCGCTTTGCTTCTCCTTCTTTGTACAAGGCAGGAAAAGGGGAACGCTACGAAATATTAAAGCGTAAGGTGAATCGAAGTCTCCAACTCATTGCGCGTGAAAAATTTACAGTCGTATTCGTGAGGCGAAGTTCGGTTTAGGACGCCAAACGGTTCGAACGAAAAGAAATGGTTTATATCCGAGAGTTGTATCAGCTATTGCATCACTATTAGTTAGCCATGACGGGCATCGGTCTAGTTCTAGGCTCGGAAGATCACAGAAGGAAGGAAAAAAAGAAGAGGTAACTGTGACGAGGCTGTAAAAGCAAGTCGACCTATCCCTGGCAAAAATAAAAAGTTTCACAAGTGTTTGTATAGCGTTTACGTGAGCGTCTGCTGGAGTTCGTTGAGAGTTTAGAAACGGTCAATAGAGAATTTGTAGAGCGAAAATTGCAACGCTGCGGCGTTTAGAAGACTTTTGTATATAGCATTTTTGAACTTAGCGTTGTAGAACTTTTATGAAACGTTATATACAGCATTTTATAAGCGTTCTGAAAGCGCTCAAAACACAACGGCGTTGTGTAAGCATTCTCATAAAGTTTGAAAGCGTATGAATTTTTAAAAAACCTTCATTCAACGGTTATCGACGCTTTATAAAGCTTGTTATTTTCGCCAGGAATCACAGGAAACATTCCTATTAAGATCACAGTATAAGGCTCGGTCTACAATGAAAAGGTCAGAACTATATGTCCTTTTTCTTCCACCCAGAAAGGAAAAGGATCAGCAGATAGTTCCGACTTCTGACTAACGACTAATAACTCATTGTAGACCGGGCTTAACTATGCTGTTTTAAAATTCACTGCCATCGCTGAAAATTTTCGGTCAACACATTTTTACCCAGTGAGAAATGATTCGTCGATGTCGTTTCGATGTTATTTCTCGCTGAGTAAGTATTTTATCGCGGACTTGGACTCGAGTTGTGTGTCACTTGTGTGAATGTAAGATTTAGTCCGTACCGACAAGCTAGCGAATTTGGTAAACTGCGTAACGAGGATCGTCCCGATTTAATTGAGTGTAATTGGGATCATTTATTTCAAAGTCGACGGGAGTTTGTATTCAGGCAAGGGTTGGTTTTCTTTAGCTACGATTTTGGATTCTAAATTGCGGAGTTTCAGAAACAGGTGGAAAGAATCTTTATAAAAACTAATTGCCTGTTTGATCTGAAATTTAACTCGTTTGATTTATACACGTTTGCCGTCTTTTTCCTTCGCGAAACTGAGTTGAAATCAACCTTCCTGAGACTGGAGTCGCTACGTTTCCTAGCAGCGCGGGACCTCGCTACGCTACTGTCAGCGAACTCTCGCAAATCTACCTTCAGAGAAGAATCCCACTCGATGTGTATTTAGGAGTGGTTTTTCTTTTACAATTAATTTGCGCGGCATTAGTTAGATTTCAGTTCTCAAAGTTTGAAGGAAATACAATAGAAATCACCTTTATTAGGTTGTCAAGTTAAAACGAGTCTAGAGCCCAGTCGTTGTTACTATATCGCGCAAGAATAGCTCGGAATTCACCGTAGTAACGTGTCGGATATTTTCTAAATATTGGACATTTTCTAAGTGTCGAGAATTTTCTAAGTGTCGGGCCGTCAACTGATTCGAAAAGAGTAACTAAAAGAATGACGATAGACTGAAACTAAGATAACGAGCCCAAAAGTGAGACTATCGACGGCGTTTTAAGCGCTTATATTTGTACCCAAAATGCCAAGAGTCTCTCCTGCCGGAGTTTTTCTCCATTTGGGACTTATCCTAGTAGGAGGGTTGTGTTACAAGTGTTTATGTCCTGATGACATCGGCCGATGGTTGGGTCATATAGGAATTCGAGTAGGCTGATAAGCTGCACGTGTGCCAGATGCAGTCTAGCATTTCTTTGTTTCTTGTTCGATTCGAAATAAATGTTTAAGGTGGCTCCTACATAAACCGACCAAAAGTAGAAAAAAATTGAAATTTAAGTATATTGTAGTTGTAAAGTTTATCCGTCAGTACGCAAAATTTCAGACCCGGTCGCCGATAAAGTAAAATAAAGAAAAATATTAAAGCTGTATCTTTTAACATTCCAGTAAACATCAAGTAACAGTTACGTGACATCAATATTATAATGTCCTACTCAACAAGATAAATGTAATATAACACCCGTTATATTACATTTACATTGTTAAGCAGGAAATTATAATATTTGAAAGTGGAGTCTGAAAGTTAATATTATTTTATAGAAAAAGTAGATCTTAACTGTTACGTTTATACGTCATAAAAATTCCCCTTTTTAGGTCAATGCATTGAATCAATTTACCCTGGAACGGAGATTAATTATGTGAAATTTTATGGAATATTAGAAGGAGGGAGGATTGGATGGTTGACAGGAAGTTCTACGGAGAATCCGATTCCAAATAGATGACGTTAATACGCAAATAGATGAAGTTAATACGCAAATCTACGTGGATCCCCCTTAGAAAAGGCCTTGTATTTAAGAAATTTGAGATTGATTTCTATTTCTTTGAGGGAAGTATAGGAATATGTTGAGGATGTATGTTGCGTTGCCAGTACAAGGTTGCCTTGTGTCTGATGTAATAATTGCGATAGTCTTTCGTAAAAGGGAAAAGAATTGTAAGAATTCTTGGTAAGAATTAATAGCCGTTTTGATTTGAAATTTCAATCTCTTCTCCCGCTGTCGAAATCCACCTTTTGTAGGCATCAAAGGAGTTTATTATTTAAAGAAAAAACCAAAGGAATTGTTATTTTTCGGGACGGGGCCACGCTATTGGCAGCGACAATCATAACAGTTCCTCGGTATAAGTATTATTTAAGTCGAAGCAGGCGAGTGAGATTCGAATTTCAGTAGTATTTTATACAAAAGGTATTTATTGAAACGAATATAAAATGGAGCTAGTGCGAACTGAGGTACGAGCCTAAGTACCTAACAGTATGGTCGAGGCTTGATTCTCTGGCTAACTGCTTAACTGGCTAACTGATTCTCTGGCTAACTGATTCTCTGACTGACTGATTTTCTGAATTCACTTTCTGAACTGAACTACGAGCTCGGGGGAGCTCTTTATATATCCTAAGAGTAGATGTGGGAGTGTCTTTAAGGGCCAATCGGTAGGTTTAGATATGGGAAGGATCTATGTTCGTTTTGTTTATTTAAGACAGTAGTAGGGGACAAAGATCCGCGTTATCCCTACTCCCGACTCTATCGAATCTTGCCTTCAAAGTTAAAAAGTTTAAATAATATATTTCTGATAAACTTTCCGTTCGTTTCTCTTAATTATTTTTATCCTTATACGAAGCGAAGTATCTCTGTTTTTTAACCGTAGTTCTATCTTTTCTAGATTCGTAGATATAAAATATTTTATTAAACACTGCAAAAGAGGTGGAAAAGGAAGAGAAAAACAAGTAATATTTGTTTCGCATTAGAGGAGAGTTTTTATCTTATGCTATTGTTATAAATCTATACGCATATTGGTTTGGTGAAAGAGGAATTTTTATTTTTTAACAGCTAATGGAAAGTTTCTTCTTGTCTGTGAGTCATACGTATTTCCTATATCTTAGGAGCGATAATGCACGATTTATTTAGGGCTACCGAGTGAGAGATATGCATATATATATGAAAGAGGAGAAGGCTTACTCGGGATGTAACATAATAAATGTCGCAAGGATTCAAATCTGCTGTTGAGTATATGAGGTCACCTATCTCTGCAAGCTTATTAGTAAAATTAAAAGATATAATATAATGTTTTGAGGAAATTTGATAGCTCTTTGAGACGTGACAATATCACATATTTTTCAATATGTTTTGAAATGTGCATATACAGGTTGTCTCATTTTAAATAATCCACGCAAATATCTCCAAAACTATGAAAGATACAGAAAAACGTTTCAAACAAAAGTTGTTTGGTTCGAAGGGGGACATAAGGTGGTGTGAGATTGACTTGACCTTGGATAGTCATTTAAAGGTCACGTGAAGATATTTCACGTTTATCACGTTTATCACGTTTATATCACATTTGGAGATATTTGCGTGGATCATTTAAAATGAGACACCCTGTATAACCTAGCATATCGATGCATCTGATCAATTATGCATTAAGTTATATTTTTTTATTAAAAAAAGTCTTATGAATTTATAAAAATCAAAGGAGCCCCACCAAAGCACCCATACTAACCGCTCCTTCGTGCAGGAGCGATCTTAATGAGATTTTTGTCCGTGCGTGACACATGCGTTACGTGAACATTGGAAAAGGCTGTCCAACTACTGATTCAAGTAATAAGCGGTATAATTATAAAGTTTGCATCATTAAGGTTACGTTCTCAGCAGTATCTAATAATTTTTGTAAAAATTTAATAAAAGTAATTCTATGTTGATGAAAATATCATATGTTTGCTGAGAAGTTATAATCGCTGATTTTAATCATAGTTTGGTTGAAGTCATCTATAAACAGTGGAATAGTTATATTAATTTCTCAAACTTTTTACCGGGGAATGTGACTTTGCTATAAACTATATTTACTAAAAATATTTATATTTATTTATATTGTAAAATATTAATTTATTTTGTGTGTTTATTAAAATGTAAAAAGCAAAAATATTGTTAGACGAATTTTTATTGCATGGAATTGTGAATATATTATGCTCGAATTAGGAATTGAAAGAGATTCAAGAGATTTTTAATTTTCTCTCGGTTGCTTTTTATTTATTTTAAATCTTTTAGTTAACAATAATTTAATTAATTTAATTCTTTACGAAATATTAGAAATAAATAAATAAATTAGAGTAAATTTCTATAATATTAAATTCATTTCTGTCTCATATTAAGAATTTAATTATCTTTATTATCGATACTTTATTTAGCAAAAAATATAGCGGAAAGATAATTTGTTTAACAATGAGAATTTTTAACAGTTTCAATTTTTAAAACTTTTCTTCTTAATTATCATATTTTCGTTATCGATACTTTATTTAGCAGATTTATTGGGAAGGTAGTTTGTTTAATAATTGAGTTTAAGCGGTTTTGAATCTTCTAAATTTTTTCTTATTCATTGTTACGAATTTTTTAAATGTTGAGCACGCTACGTTTTAGACACATTGGAACAACGTTGTTATTTATTTATTATACCTGTCTGACAAGAAAGAAACGATAACTCGTCGGTAAAAGAATCTCGAAATTAATAACAACAATTATTGAAGATGTCACAAATATTTCACGGCGGAACAAAGAAGAGAAGCATTTTGTCGATCAAGACAACGTCGTTTTATAATACGATAAAATCTCAGGAAATCTCTTAGGCTATAATGGTCTAAGATCTTTCCGAGGGAACACTAAGTAGACAGACGACAAGTGGAAACTCGAGGAATCTGAGGAATTCTGAAAAAAAAGAGAAATAGTAGTAGTAGGGTACCGTAGAGAAAAAAAGAAGCGGAAGTGGAGGGAGGCTGTGTATGTATGAGTGAATGAGTGAGTAAATGAACGGGATAACCGAAAGGAGAGGGAATAAAGAGAGAGAGAGAGAGAGGGGAAGAGAGGATAAGAGGAAGATAAGAGATCGCTCGTGGAAGTGGCGTCTTCTTCGCGCGGGCGTTTCTCGGTGCATCCGGTGTTATGTCGAGGCGTTACAGCTCTCGTTTCGCTTTTTCCCTCTGATCTGGTCGGTCGCGTCGCGCCGAGGAGCGCGTGTGGAACGACAGTCCCAGCCGCGCGTTCGCGTTCGCCGCACGGGCCTCGCGCGAAACCGTGCGAAGTACGAAATGCCGAAGGGAGATAATCATGTTACGATAGCGAACGGGGCAGAGCTGTAAGATCGACCGACCGGAAGTGTCCTTGATTATTTACAAAGACAACACGATAGTTCGGTCGAGCGCACGGAAGAAAGAAGTGAGCGAGCGACTTGCCGTCTAACTTCACTCGTGGAAGACAAAATGATCGGCGGCTGAAGAGACAGTCTGGCGAGAGAGATTGCGATTTTTCAAACGAACGCTAAAAGTGAATAAGTGACTTGGTTAATAAACTGCCTGGGGTTTTTTTTCCACTGCGACACATTAAATAGATTTTTGTCTGTAGATTTTCTGCGGACGAAGGAAGCAAGCGTAAGAAGAGAGAGAAGTGCGCAGCAATGTTCGGTCGATGAGGAGTGCTATTATTTATAAATATTTAAAAACGATCTCTTCACTTTGAAAAGAACAAATAAATCTGGAAGGTCCTGGTTTACAAAGTTCAAATCGCGCATTAGGACAATTATAATTTGATATTGGACATTGTATAATCCCACTTAAAAAAAATGCGGCGTTAATCCCGGCGCAGAACGATTTAAATAGAACGACAATAATTCAAGCTGTCATTAAACGGATAGCAACTGTTTCCGTTCTACCCGCGTGTTTAATAGCGTTCACGTGGACGCCAACTGTCCGAATTCGAATCAGCCGACGTAAACGCAATTTAAGACAAAAGGAGAGTCGAGACACGAGTCGAAAGAAGCGGAATCGCATACATACAAGCGAGGTATTAATTTAGCCGCGTAGTAAAACTTACAAATCTTCATAAGAGACGGATTTCAAACGCGTACTTAAAGGAACTGGCTTAACTACGATTTAAAATAATCTGCGAGAAGAGAGGAGAGTCTGAAGAGGTTCTTTCCGAAGAAGGAACGAAGAGACCGACGATTGCAACGCGCGTGTTTTAATCGGTGACACGTGAATTATGTTTCTACAGAAACTGAAATAAATAAAAAAAATATATATAAGAGGGAAAGCGCACGTAATAAATAAAACATACTCTAGAGGTGCAACTTTTTCGAAACGAAGCTACAAGATAACGGAAGTAACAATCGGGGAGTAGCAATTTGACATAGCATTGAGCGATGTTCGGAGAAGGGGTAATAATAGGAAGAGCTCGTTTGCGTTGGATGAAGGAGTAATTGCATTTTTATGCCGCCATGTCCGCAACAAGGTTTGCCTTGCTCGGCCTGGTGTTACTCTCGACGAGAGTGTCGTCGGAATCGCACCTGGCGAAATGTTGCCCGCCAGGGGAGATCTTCTCCGGCTATTCTACCGTGGAATGCGTGTCAAAACCGAGGAGCATAATGGAGCTTTACGTTCACCAATGGAACACCACCGCGGGGTTCCAAGGGATTCCTCGGTGCGACGAACCCGAGGATCTTATGACGACGCTGCTAAGCGATCTCGATCCCAACAATTTCTTAGAGGTAAATTGTGACGATTGAATTAATCTTCTCTACCTTTAACCGCGACGCTTTGGTTACTCGACGAGATAGAAATCGAATCTCTTCGGTAAGGAAATGGAGAAGCGCTTTCTAACGGGGACACGGTAAAAATTTATGGTAGAAATTTGTGCTAGAACCTTTTTAATTTTATAACTGACTGACGTACACGCGATTAGTTCTGTCTCCATTAGGAATTGTCTGTTTTCAATCTATGTTTTTCGTAATCAGTTTAACCGTAAAAACCGGAAGCACTACTCTCAATTCAACATTGGAATACAGTAGAAAAGAGTTCATCGATTTATACTAACAGTTCTATTTGCGGGATATAAAACTTTATGTCTGCGTTTTAATTTTTATGATGTAATGTCCAATCACTTTATATAATTTATCGTTCCCTCGCGCATTGAGGATGACCTTGCTTCACGTCGAAACGTTTGTCACGTCATTGTTTATCTATTTCATAATATATACTTATTGTTAGTACGTACACCTCCTGTTTGTTTCACTAGTTTTCCTTATACTTTTCTGTTTTCGTATGAGCGTGATAGAAAACTTAATAAAATGCAATCTTTTTAAATACTTTTTAATAAAGTTGCACTTCTCATTTGTCTTTAATTTTTCCCTTGATCTTCTTCATTTATATCGTTAAAGGACTGCGATACCTCGGTGCTTAGCGAAAAGTATCATTAATAAAGAAGTAAAAAGAAAAACGCTACTTTTCTAACAGAATCTATAAAGTTATGGGGAAACAGAAAATACGGTCTTTTATAATTAAGTAATACGTTTAATTTAATTATACAAATTACGCTCATTCTTTTCGTTTCGCTAATTTTCAATCTCATTTCATATCGAATAACCACTCCCTGTCTCCAATGCTAACCGCTCCTTTAATTTGCTCAATTATATTTGGGTGTGTCGTATTTCTCCCCAAGGCTCTAAACTGTAATAAAAACGATGACTGTAAATATATGTATAAATAGAGAGAGAGAGATATATATATATGTATATATATATAGACTTTCTTCTTCTTTTCTTCCTCGCGTATTAGGCTTAAAAGACTGTTTTATCCAGTTCGTTCGGGTACTTCGAGCATTTGGTTTTACTTCATCTTCGGTAGGCTACTAATTTTGCCGAAGGAAACCTCCAATCTGGAGGAATGTACCCCTAAAAGGGGTATATGTGGCAGGGTACTCTCGGTGGTTGCCACTTCCCTTCGGGAAATTCCGAAAAGATCAGTGGTGTCCGTGGATTTGAACACGGATCTTTTCGTTCATTTGTTTAGTAAGCATTTCTCTGCGCCACGCTCGCCTAAATATAGAACCCACGACCGTAAATGTATAAATAGAAACACATTTTCGAAATTTATAGAAATTTTAATTTTTTGAAAATAGAAACTTGGGTGATAAAAAGATTTCGTGTTGAACGTTCAGTTTTCTTCACAAGTAGACGGGGAAATGAGAGTAGAAGCTTGTACATACTCGTACATTATTTAGAAAGAAAACAATACACAGTTGTTTTCTCGGTGGTATTTTTATGGGAATTATTATCGTCGCGCAACACAATCGAAGTACACTGTCTCAATTATATAATCGATTATGTCAAACAAGCAAGTTTAAGTATAGCATCGTTAAAAAAAGAATAGTCCCTGTTTATCACTTTGATAAACTGTTTGTAGGTGCCAGCCTGCCTCGAGATACTTTACGATCAAATAAACGGAGAGAGCGCCGTAATAGTCGTTCATTGTGGATCGAACAAAGATCGACGAGTGAAAGGGATCGACACATCCTTTCTGCAGCTCACACACGTCAGAAAATGTTGCCCTCGCGACGCAATATTCGACAGTCGCACGAAAGCTTGCGTGTCCCGGTTAAGCGAATCGGAGAGCCTCGTAGCATTTTTGAGATTAAGAAATGAATCGGCCGACGCGGATCTTGTGGTGGTAGCTAACGAAGGCCCACCCGCGTGCAAAGGACCGATCGTCGACTACGAGATTGACGAAAACGACGTCTTCCTACGGAACAGTACATATTCGGTGAGCAAGGCGAAACTATTGTAAAACTTCCAAGGTGATTTCCAAGCCTCTTACGGCTACGTGTCCCTTCATGAACTATTATCTCGAGTATCTTAAGAATTTAAACTTATCAAGTGGCGGTAAACAGTAAATAATTAAAATAAGTGAAATTGAAATTAATGGGCAAGCAGAAATAAGATTAATTTTTGATTTGAAAAGTTGATTATAAATTACATCTCTACATTAAAACATAATTCACTGGAAATTAGTTGATTATCCTTTCTTCATACATTTGACGTTAATTAACTGAGATGTGATAAACTTTCTGAAAATCTTGAGATGTATTTGTCAATTCATCTATGTTTACGTATGCCACAGAACAGATGTGACAAACATTGTACCGTTGGTTATATAATAATATGTTTTAAATTAAAATTTTATAAGCGTCTCATATCCTATAAAATATTGTAGTTTACAAAGGCGATACTTTCCTTTGGATAATATAAATTGAAACGACGTTAGACGAATGAAATGACTCGACAGGTGATGGTTCCAGCATTCAAGAATAGTTTCGCCGTCAAAGAGGAACTTTCGGTTACCGAGGATTACGCTTGTCTCGACACGACGCCGGATTCTGCATCGGATCGAACACTGGTAGCGCGCGTCTGCAGAGATCCGAAATTCTGCGACGTGAACGCCTGCATCAGAAAATGCTGCGCCGAAAATGAGTTCTTTTACGCCCAGGGATGTAATAAACTCGCCGTACCCGATCAACTGATAGAGTTTCACATGGCCCTGGCGAACGCCGTAAATCAAACGAGATCGTCCGCCTTCGACACGACCAGAGGTTCTTTTTGATGAGATTTAAACGCTCGTACTCGCAGCTAGCGCCAACCAACAGTTGCATAACGTCAATATTACAATTTCCCACTCAACGATATAATTGCAATGTAACATGCGTTGTACACAACAGTTATATATTGTTGAGCGGGAAATTATTATGTTGATGTCACGTAACTGGTGGTCGGCGTTTGCTGGACTGCTTACCAAGGAAGAAATTTAAACTCTTTATTTAAAATCCACTGACGTAATCGATAACAATTGTAACGAGTTGTCGACGGGAATCCTACGCACGGAGAAACGGAGTTAATAGACTTCCCCTTTGATTGCTTAGACTATGGAGTCTTGATTGGGAAGCCGTGTAAATACGGCATGTACCCCACGGATCCGAGGGAAGAAGAATGGCTACTGACGTCAGAAGGACGTGTCTTCGTCGAGAAATATGTGCTCTACGACCAGAACAACTACTGCATGGACATCTTTTACAACATGACGGAATTCGATCATAACTTCAGCCTGTTCATATGTTTCGAGGACCCGTCGATAAAGCAACTATCGAGGTACACACCATTCCTACCCGGCGAGAAATGACTCGTCGATCCGATGTCGAAACGATGTCGAATCGACGTCAATCTGACAGTGTCGACGTCGATTCGACGTCGCTTTCACGAATCATTTCTCACTGGGTACGTTCTTCAATTGTAAAATATAAAGGAAAGTCCCCTACTATGACACAGGCTTCTAATATGAGATAGCAGGTTTTCACCGTCCAATTCTAATCGCAAATCTTCTTTTCGCAACGATTACACGGTTAGTGCATTTTTCACTAAACAGATTTCATTTCAAGAACAATAAATACATGACGGAGCCAACAGATGATGCTTATTAATACAGCAGAAACCTACTATCTTATACAAGGCGATCCTATCTCATAGGAGACCCTTCTCTACTATTCGACAGCTGTTTAATACTTATTTTCAGATATATTTACCAGTCTCTGCTCGCGATCAGTTTCACTTCTAACCACACGTTGTCTCGGGAAGTATGACCGAGCAGAAATATCACGTCGAGTATTTCCGAATTGCTTTGATATATCGGGCAAGCTCGGTTGTTTCCGAGCACGAGTTCGTATCGAGCTTCCAGGAATTAAAGTACCGAACGCGTTACATTAGACTTCTATTGATGCACAGCGCTGGAGCATTTCCATGCGTTCAGGCTCTCCGTCTCTCCAGCCGCAAATTCTGTCAAATTTGGCGAAACTCGGCAGGCTTGATTTGTTTAAACTTGGCGAAGTCAAACAAACGTAGCATTCCGGCGCACCGCACAATAGACGATGCCCGGCACTTGGGGTGGGGGTGGGGGTGGGGGAGAGGGCGGGCTGTAAGCGTTTCAGTTGTATAACGCGGCGCAAAGAGAAGCGTATTTATCAATGTCTGTGAAATTGATGAAAATAACGTCGGACGGGTCGAACTTGCCTAGCGTCGGACGAACGTGTCGCGCACCGCGAAAGACGAAAATGCATTTCTCGCGTGGCGCCGACAGGTTTCGGATGAACACCGCCCTGCAGATCACCAGCTGCGCTTTCCTATTGATGACTCTGCTGGTGTACGTGTGCCTGCCGAGTCTGCAGAATCTTCACGGTAAAACGCTCATGTGCCACGTGAGCAGCCTCCTTCTGGCCTTCATCTGCCTGCCCGTCATCACTTGGATCACGCCCAGTGTCTCGTTTGAGGGACAAGGCACGACAACGTGCAAGGCTGTAGGTGTGTACGCGCGCGAACGTACTGAGGGATAGAGGAAAGTCCCCTGTTATGAGATAGGATCCTAATGCGGGGCAGCGGGGTTTCTGGTAAGGCTTGGGTCCACGATCTTGGTCCAAGTTTTAGTTTTGAGAAATGTGCAGCCAATCAACTTGCGGCTATTCCATAAAAGCCACTGGACCAAGCATCGTGGACACGGGCTTTGACATTAATAGGCATCATCAGTTGATTCCACCGTGAATTTATTATTGCCCTTGGAGCGAAATCTGTTTAATGGAAAATTCATTGTTAGATCGTGTAATCGTTGCAAAAAAAAAGGATTTGTAATTGAATATATGGGCGTTGAAAGCCCGCGGTCTTATATTAGAAATTTATCTCATAATAGAGGACTTTCCTGTGTAACGAGCGACGTTAAGGAAACGAAAAAAATTGTTTGTCCAGCTTACATCACGCTTTTTTCCTTTCTATCGTCGTTTTCCTGGCTCAACGTCATGTGCTTCGACATATGGTGGACCTTCGGGTAAGTCGTACATCCGATCACGCGATCGGGTCAAGCGGGACAATCGAGGACATTGGGTAAATGAGGCAGCGCGATAAGTTCTCCTAGACGGAAAATCAATAGTCATCTCTCCTCAATGACTGCTGAACGAAGTCGGAACCTGTCTGATAATTTTTACGAGGCTTGCCACCGCGCGGAATTGCACCGCCTTATTTATCCGATACTTATCTCGATTGCCCCGGTCGACCTTCGGGCCTGAGCAGAATGGGCTGTCTTGTACTCTCAAGATATAAGACGGCCATTCTGCCCAGGCCCTTCCGTAGAATGCCTCGCCGACTTCTCATTAACCCTCCGACGTGGTTGCGAACGCCCATGAACGCCTCTTCGCGAATTCATTGTGTTCTACGTACACCGGCGCGTAAAAAAATATACCCTGCCAAACAGTGAACACCGAAATGACTCAACGCGTTTTATATAGCGCCGACACGACACGCGTAGCTCGCGGGAAAGCGTGCGGCTCACGGGCAGTTTCAGTCGAGGAATCCGTAAATTCCAGAAGGAGAAATGACCTTTCGCGGAATATTTTTTAATTCGACTTTTTTTTTAGCGAATCAACGTCGCAAGTCACTGGAAGGACCAACGGCGATATCTCGAAGAAATTAATCCTATCGGGAATAAAACCCCCGCGAACGTGTTATTAAAGAAAGACAACTTGAGGACGTATTGCGCCCTGTCCAAGGGCGACCCGACGATTGTTCCGAGCTGGACGTATCTCGTCTGTCGTTTCTCGCCGGTTACGAACGTTTGTGTGTTCAAGGCGCTATTCTAGCTGAGAGAGAGAGATTTGTAAATATACGGAGAAAATAGATTCTCACACGTCGCGGCGACGATGTATCTTAATGCTGGCTGGCCGCGCGATCTCTTGATCGGGAATTCCACGAGTCCGCACGTATTTTTTCACGACGTTCATTCCCCGCGGATCGAAAAGTAAATCATGTGATATTCATGCGGCTTTCGCGGAATTTCGCGCTCGGCTCCTAAATCGACGGACTTCGTCGAATTAAGAACGGCTTCATCCTGATGAGTCGGATTGTCCGTGACGTTTAAGTGTCACTCGCTTGCCTCATCGTCAATTTTAGTATTCGCTCATCGTTCGATTAATATTAAAAGCGTCGCCTTCAGAAAACGTACTCGGAATGGAGATCAACATTTTTTAGATTAACATGTTCTCCCGTGTGCAGTGATGAGCGAAATAGGCGCAACACGGTTTTTAATGAGTTTGGGAACGCGCATTCAGGTTTACGTTGCGAAACACTTCCTCTGGAGAGAATTTTACTCGAGAAACAGATCGGCAACGCTCAAAATGGTTTCAGAAATGGCCATCGAGTACATTCCTCGGAGAAGAAGATTTTGAAGCGTACTTTCTAAAGGCCAATCAGTGAGTTATCTCAGTGAAGACAGCGAATAGTCACTGATTTCCAGTTAAAAATACACTACTGAAAAGTGCAGTGGTATACTTGTAACTGTAAATCAGTGACTATTCGCTGTTTCCAGTGATAATCCATTGATTGACTTTTAGAGAGTAACCCTAAATCTAAACGCACGTTCCTAGACTCATTAAAAAAGAAAAGTGTTGCAACCATTACCAGATAGCACAAGACACTCCTATGAACATTTTATGAATATTCTTCAAGAATATTTGGAATATTCCATAGGTCATTCTTACATGTTTATCTTATGTTCGTGGAACATTCGACTGGCACTACTATAAATCTTTTTCGAATGTGAATAGAATAATCTATCGAATACAGCGTGTCGGTTATGTACGGTAGGATCACAGGTTTCACTGCCTTTTGCGTAAGATAAGTGGATTACACAATAAACAATGTGCAATACGTAAACTCGATGAATATTAAAAAATTATTCTGAACGAATAATCCAAAGACATTCTCGACGAATATTCTAAAAACGTTCTTCTTTGTTATGAATATACGATTTTTAATTGTAATCACCTATATATACATCGCTCATCACGTCGCACTCGTATAATAGGCCGCGTCGCAGCTTCTTAAGGCCTGTGTCCGCGATGTTAGAATTTAGTCCAACTTGAACCAAGTTCTAGCATCGTGGACACAGGCCTTTAGGCCCGGTTTTACCAATGTCGCTCAACTTCCAGCTCAGCTTAATTCATTCTTTGTCTCTTGCCAACTGTTACTTCGGACAAACATGAATTGAACTTTTAAGATTAAAGTTAAACGACGCTGGTGAACACAGGCATTAATTGTCGATCTTAATAAATAAGACGATAATAGTTAATCTTCTCCGCAGAGTTTTGCGCGGCAGTACGATTACGCAGGCGCGCGAGCATAGGAAAAGATTTCTGCTATACTGTTTATACGCTTGGGGCCTGTCCTTCCTGGTGTCGGGCCTGGCTATCGTTGCCGACAGCACGGATATCCTGCCAGATTATCTGCAGCCCGATATTGGCGATACGAGCTGTTGGTTTATACGTGAGTCACAACCGATAACTGTTGTCCGAGATGATGTAACGCAAACATGTCAAACGCTAATGACGGAGTTCTCGGGAAGACTATCGACTTCTCGTAATGAAGGGCCCGGCGCGGCGTTGCTTTCTTCCCGCGCCTCCTTGCTATTATAATTTATACATTGGAAATAGATGAAGTTGAGAATTGGTACAAGATGAATTGCAGCCAGAAAATTCATTTGGCATTCAGAGTTGACTCCGTATCGAGGGGAAGGCAAACGTAAAGTTTTCTTTCTATCGCCGGGCCGCAATTATCCGATAATTAAAAACTTTCTCGAGCGGCCGTATTGATCGTGCTAGAGCAAATTCAGGCATCATTGCCCCTCGGTATATAAAATGCAATTAAACTAATTGCTCGCGTAATAAGTATCATTTATATCGTCAAAGTGTCCTCTCGATAACCGTCAAATATTAGAAAGATTCTCAACAAACAATTCTCGCGATTCCACGCGAAGGTCGAGTTACCGAGGTCTAAAGACTATTACCGCAGTACGTTTTTAAATTCAGTTTTTCCGTCGTACGACGAAGCGCGTGAAATAAAAAGTGCCAAGCACAAGCGTTATCCGAACAATAACGATATGATTTAATTATTTGAAAATATATGGTTACAAAGGGAACATTTCTATTCTCCCTATAAAAGTAACGATGTCAACAAATTGCGCCAACTATATGTATTTCTTTTGTACGATGAAGCGCGTAAAATTTATTTTCGTAAAAGTATTAACGAAACGAATTACGTGACACAAAATCAGAGGCAGACAATATTTTACGCCGTAATTTTCTTCGTACATCAACATACGTTATCGTGACAAATTTTATTACTTTCATATTAAATATTTTAATCGAATGTTCTCTCTTAATATTTTAATCAAACGTTGCAGAAAAACGGGAATCGTACGGAGAATTGACCTTCTTCATTGGACCGGTGATGATTCTGCTGATATCCAACGTGGTGTTCTTCGTTCTTACATCCGTGCATTGTAATAAGGTGAAAGCGGAGATAAAGAGGGTAACTACGAACCCCACGGATCCCAGAAGCAAACGGTTTCGCTCCGACAGGAAGAGGTGAGCGCTTATGCGTCAGTTCGGCAAGAGCAACGATTTCTCTTTGGTTTTCCTTTGTCAGACGCAATAGTAATGAAAAAAAAGATACTTCGGCAATAAATTTACGGTTAGCGCGTCTAAAGTTTGAGCACGTCATTTCGGAACTTTCGACGTCGGTTTTATCGGTCTCGTTGGGGCGCCCTTCCTCGAAGTCATTCTAGCGCAGCCCACACAAACACGCGAGAAACATCGGTCTCTATTTAAACCTAAAACCTAAAACTAGAAATGCAATAAAATCGTGCGTATCAGAAGCGCGCTCAGTTTATACATTGACTTCGGTTATGAGTAGTCGGTTAGTTAGCCCGGCCACGTATTTTTTAAATACAGCCAATAGAGTTCGCTCCAGTTACATACCGGAAAAAAAAACTTTTCATTGCTACTAATTTTCAATGAATTTTTGGAATTTTTTTTGGTATCGTACATGATACAAAATCGGGGAAAAACAATATTTTACGTTGCGATTTTCTTCGTAGTGCGACAAATTTTATTAACTTTTATTAACTATATTTAATTTCTTGCAATCGTGATAATAAAATTATTATTACGACTGCAAGAGATTAAATATAGTTTTTAGAAATTAATATATTTTAGATATTAATATATATTAGAAATTAAATATAGTTAAAATAGAATTGCCATCAAACTTGAACGCTACTTCATCTACATTCTTCATTAATATCTTTATGTTTCATTTATTTTACGCGAGATTCTATTTTACGCAAAACGGTTGTATCATTTTCCGATAGATTTATCATGAACGTGAAACTGTTCATCGTCATGGGAATGTCCTGGATTTGCGAAGTGGTGTCGTTCTTCCTGCTAAAATATTTAGACTACGAGCGCTGGCACCACGTGTTCTTCTACACCAGCGACGTCTTCAATTGCCTTCAAGGTCTACTGATTTTCATTCTCTTCGTCCTGAAGAGTCGCGTGTATCAAGCACTTCGCAGACGATTGGGATTGGATACTAAACAGAAACCGACGTGCAACGCGACGACTTTACACGATCCTTACAGAGTCAGGAAAAGCGCGAGTAGTAGTACGTTAACGACTACGTTTGCGATTAGTTCCACTCCATAAGGTAAAAATTAAGACTTGTTAGTATTTAGTATAACAAATAACTTATATCTTTTTGCCATATGTTCATGCGTGCGACGAGTCACGCTCTGTTCAATTTGTAATTATCTTAAATACGTCCCTCTGTCAGCTAGAACAAATAAAAATCTTCCTGCTGTTAATATTTTACTAAGTAGCGTTTAATAGCCAAAACAGGCACGGGTGACGGTTGAACTCAAAAAGAAATCATCTTTAAACATTCTTTATGAATTAGCGTATTCTGTACGAAATAAACTCAAAAGAATTTCTTTCCAGCAATTAGAAAAGAAAGATTATTTGTATTGAGAATGAAAAGATTCCTTTTGCATCCGAGAAAGAGCTCAGGAACGATAAAGGCGAATTCTTTTTAAACTCCTAAGAATGTTTTTAGAGTAGAAATGGGACGGGAAAAAGAATTATTTTTGTATCATAACGAATGGATTATATTCCAAACAAGGTTAATCTGTTATTCTGGCATAATTTTATTATTCTCTCGATAGCAGGAGGGACAACTGACAGGTGGAATAATTGTATTTGATTGGACGATTTGGCACCACGCAAATAGTGGCATGAATAGAGCTTGACGTAGAACACGATTGTATAAAATTTCCTCGTCTATTAGCCCGTATATTTCGGACTAATTCGTGTACTTATTATTGCTATTCTTAGCTCTCAGAAATACGAGTATCTACTAAGAACACCTGAAGATGATATTAAATTTTATATTCCGAGCGTTACTTTTATGAATGTTAGATTTATCTTGCAACAGTTACGCCAAAAAGAAATGCCACTAAGGCCCGGTTCTTCCAACGTCGTTTAACTTTAACCTTCAACTCGTATCCCTCGTCTCTTTCTAATCGTCTCCTCCGAAAGAGACAAAGAATGAGTTAAAACTAAAGTCAAGCGACGTTGGGAAAACCGGGCCTAAAAATACCAAAGAAGATTGGATTAGCTGTTGTCGCCATAAATTGTGAACAATACTTTTGCATGTATACTGTGGTATACGTGTGCGTATGACGCACAAGTTAGGCACAATGTTAAGTTAAAGTTGAGATTAAATTGAGAAACTTGTGTATATAAAGTGTTATTGTTTAAACATTGAGTGGTTCCTGATGTTTGTGCTTGTATACTTACTGTTCGCGAGCGCCTATGGCAGGCTGGAGCTCCAGGAAATGTGGCACCAGAAAGGACACAGAGAGAAGTGCTGGACAATCACAGACTTTAATTCACACGCGAGATTACGTACTTATCTACAACTTACCACGCAAAACTGCCTGGCTTTCGGGACTTGATTCGACTAAACTCGCGGGCTCGCACTGCAAGGCTCTTGCTCTGGCCCTTTCTACTAGGAGGAACTCTCGTAAATCAATTACACCGATGCGCTTTCAAGTCTACGACAAAAACGGCGGCGATTTCGGGGATCCGCGATATTTATGGGAGAGGCGATATCGGTTTCGAGCCGTCGGTGGCCAATCGCCTCCCCCAAATTTGAGTTTCCCAAGGTGATCCTCAGGGCGCGGGGAGCCATTGGTTCCCGCGCGGCCCTGAGTGGTACCGCGCGCGTTTGGCATGCGCGGAAGGCCGATCGGCGCGGTTGATTGGTGCTCCGCGGATGACGCGGCCCGAGGCGCATGCTCGCGGTGTCGCTCGATTTTCGTGTTCTCCAAAACCGCTCGTAATTGTTTGCCACGGGCAATGTTTTGGCGAATGTTGTTAGCCTGAGTGTTTGTCTCGACGAGGGGACACGAAAGACCGCTCCCCCGACCCCTGAGGGAAGCAAGAGAAGTTTATCGAACGAATTGTCGAGACAAAGGCTCAGGCTGCCGCGAGCAGATTTAAGCAAAATTAATGCGAATTATCGCGAGACGCAAACTATCGCTTTACGCTTGCCCGGCGCTATGATGCCTCCGCACGAGGCTGAGACGTTGGGTCTCAAACACTTACGTTAAGGAAATACTTACGTTTACAGGAAAACTTGTCGACTTTACATGATGCACTTTAAGAGGTACTTTGTAGAACCGACCGCTTTCTTAAACCTGACGAGATAAGTAAATAATCAAATAATATTATAAATCAATATAACTTTTTCTCTTTGAGATTTCAATACACGTTTTCAATACTTTCTCGAACGTGATCATTACAATAATGCATTTTATTTGCCGTATACGTTGCTGCGTATCTTGCTCGATTATCTTGCTCGATAACACATCGGTAGGAAATATGTTAGAAAACCCGCGATTAGCAAAATCTGCTTTTATTTTAAATGTATACTCAAATGGAGCTTAAAAGTATGATCTCCTGCAACAATAGATCCGTTTACACTATGTATCCAGGATGCGTTCAGGATGTATCCGGGACGTGTTCTAGGACACACGCCACCCTCTTAACACCGAGAATCGTCGACACTAAACTCTTATGCCACCATAAAACTTGATCCGGCTTTTCTCCTTTCACTGAAAAAAACTTTTTAAAAAATAAAGACTAAGATATTACGTGGCACAACTTTGTAGCCGACGATTCTAATGCCAGACTCGCAATTCACTTGCACATTTCACTTTCTTTTTTTCCCCGATATAAACTTACGCTTAAAATTATAAAATCCGTAATACGGCCAACACCTATAAACCAATCACTCATAAAGCTTCCAAAATCACTTAATATTGTATTAGCAAACTAGCGCACCAATCGCATCTCTCGTTGGTACTTATTACAAAAAATGTCTTCATGTGTCACACAGTAACCCGTCATCCAACGAGCGATTTTCTTCCGCAGGAATAAACATAAATTACTCGTAAAAATTAATGTAACTTCTTGAGTAACAAGTGAATCAATACTGCTATAATATAGATAAACTGCTACGTGTTATCGATAAAATTATCACTAGCACACAGATACCACCTCCGTAGCCACAGCCTCTCTTTCTTTTGTTTAAAAACGCAGGGTCAATATCGGCAATGAATTCATTAAAACATCATACGTAAGTGTAATAAAAGACGTTCGCGGCGTCTTACTAGTAGAGTCCGTGCTTAAAAATAGCGTGATCAAGAAAAGAGACACATGGAAATTATTGTAATAATGATTACAACAATGTATAATAAAATATACAATTAGAATAATAATGAATTCGTCAACGAGCTGCGCGTGCGCGTAGTATAATCGCCAAGATCACGGCATCGATGAAATTCTCAATTTATGAGCTTTGCGGATTAGAATAAATCTTAAGGACATAAAACCCATAAATAAACGCAATCTCTTAATTTTGCATTATTATGCGGATGTGCAAGACAGGGCCAATCGTCGATCGTCCTTTCGTTTCGTAGAAGAATGTTTGCATGGACTAGGATCATCGCTTAAGTTCCACCGCTTCCCCACTTAAAAGTATAGCGATATCGACGATTTAACGTCAGGCTGAGTAAAATCTCCTCTCCACGTAATTCAGGATAAAAGGTCCAGCGACGGCATCGCTGAGATATCGCTACGTACCTCGCCTTTGACCATTAGCACATATAGGTCAGCCAACATTAAATCTCCCGGTCGATTAACATCTCGCCAGTGTCCGTACAGATATAAGCCTACGATCGTTAAGTCGTGCTTTGGATAACGAAAACAAAGGCACGTTCGGGCACTTTCGGGGCACTGCGAAATGAGGGCGGACTCCTACTAACTTGACTTTGAATGCAAATGAAATGCGGCTGTCAGGGCTTCCTCTCGTTCGCGGTCTCCTCGAGGTCCGGGTCCTCATTGATGATCGAGATGTCGCGAATCGATGGCCTGCGCGTTTTCCAGGCCTCCGGCGGGCTGACCGGCGCGGTGGTTTTCGTGAGCAGCTTCGGCCCCGAGAGCGTGATGATGATGGCTCCGGCCGGCGCGGTCAGAAGCACCGAGAGCACGCACATCATCAGCACCGTTTCGGCGTACTCGACCTGCTGCTGATCGTCCTTGTCGACCTCTTCGAGGGCGACGGATGCCAGGGCCGCCTGCACAGTCGCCTTAGCCATCCATGATAGGGCGATGAACACCTTCTCCTTGAGATTGAGCTTGGAGCCAATTCCGACCAGCACCGTCGCTCCGATGCGGATGACGATACCGATCACCAAGCAACTTATTCCGAGATAGACTGTTTTTCCCTCGAGCTCGTTGATCTTGATCTGCGCGCCAGTTACGCCGAACAAGATCGGTTCGAATATCATCCAGAAGATCTCGAAAGACGTGGCCACGGGATTCTGTAATAAAAAAAAAAGAGGAAGAGCTGTACGCGATCGCGATCAGACTTGAATTTATGAGTTTTTGTTTCGGTTTTACCACCGGTCTGAAAATTGCAAAAATTTTATACAAATAAGTCAATTACGGTTTTATTTATTTCCGTTTTCTCTACATCTAAATTACGGAAGAGTGATATTCGACGAATGAAAGGACAATAACGGCGGCAATTTAATCCGATTTGCCGAGATGCGCAACGCTAGATGTTAAAACGCGGCGAATACAATGACATTTTCCACAAATTTTCCTCTAAAGGAGAGTCGATTCGGTATTCGGCGATGATATCTCGCATCGCATTGTCCATGCGCCCGATATCGGGATATGGAAATCTTCCAGCGTAGCATGGAAATGCAGAATATCCAGAGTTCACGCGGTGTGCAAGCTCGTATTTACCGCTATTGTTTACATGCGCCTGTGGTGCGTAGGAAATCTCATCGATATTGATTTATTTAATTTAATTCCATGCAATTTCCGGATAATGCATGTGGTATGCCCCGCAGATACAAGAAAATTACAGACAACACACGTGTTTTTTTACAGACTTCCTTTTAAAAGTTCTTCCGAGCAAATAGTATTGAAACACCTCAAGGGGATTTCATTTAATGACTAATTAGTCTCCTTGTTTCTTAAAAAAACACCCCAGTTGCCTATCAAATTGCTTAAAACCATATTTTATACATCCAGTTTAAATATAATTATACACTCACACTTATTAAAATAAATGATAATATAAATAAACATAGAAAAAACAATTGGGCAATGAGGGTCTGTCGCGGTTATTGTCGCGTGAGTCACACGACTGTATTCAATTACGATTTGTAAAAACAAACTGACGATAACAATTATTGAATGATTCAACTCCAATTTGATTCTTCGGCACATTAAATGTTAAAAATCAGTTCTCGTGATTTTAGTTAAGCCATGCAATTGTGTTTGATGAAAGGGGAGAGACGGCGAAATGTTAATTCTATTTAACCGCGCGGTATCCGAGAGGAGGAATGTTTTATCAGAGTGAATTATTTCATTATTTGAGACAAAAGAGCGTTTTACTGTCGCCGCCTTGTCGCGCGATTGTACCGCGGTAATTAATCTAGCCGGGATAAATTATGCCGGCGCGCGACACACGACGTGCACATCATACGGCGGTAATATCGACAGATGCTGGTTACAGTCGCGTCACGAAACGCGTGCGAAAGAACGTGTCGCCGCCGCCGCGCCCGCCGACAGCGGGGAATGCGACGCGATGCGGAAATAGGAACGAGCCAGTTGACTCCCAATCCGCATCCCGCCGGATAGTGACGATACGTCGGCCTGAATATTTCACGGGATTCAAGTTATTGGGCCAGGAGAGCGAGGCTGCGCGACGTCTCCCTTCGGCGCCCGATACACCCCTTTCTTCCGCCGAGAGATTAAATATTTAATATCCCTCGCGCTCTCAGGCTGGAATTGCGAAATCGCGATTCAAAGTACCTTCGAAACGTCATTCGCTGTCTCAAATTAACCCTTCGAAGCATGGTGGGTAAACCACGTTACCACCTCAACTTCTTTACTTCTTGGCCACTTAATTTCTAGTTAACGCAATTAGGTCGGGTTTTTTTTTGCATTTTTTGGGTATCTTAACAATAAAAGAACATGAAAACTTTTTTATTGTAAAAGTTTTATAAATAAATATGAAAAACAGCAATTTTTGGGGGGAAAAATTCATTATTGACCAGATTTTTTAAGATTACTTCTTGAAAACTTTGTACAAAGGGGTTTTCGGGGTCGCTCATTACTGCACGGAGAGACCGATATGGTTACCACATGTTTAATTAGAGTCGGCGCAACCACAATAAATAGTAATATTTGGGACAACTGTATCTGTGGTTGTCATAACTACATTGGTATGATAAGTAGTGGAGACAACTATATGCGTTTTGTGCAGCGAACTTAGTAAATGTTGCAACACAAAACAATGCAGATGCCCCTGTACTGTTTATACGGCAACATTTTAATTTTAGTTATTTTAGCGTTAGCCGGTCTTTCCGTGAATTTTCGAAATTCCAAATGACCGACCCAAAATTGCGGATGCAAAGTACGTGGATTTTTCAAGCTTTCAAGTTTTTCAGCATTTTCGTTTCATTGCGGTATTTAGGGACTCGCCATGTCTGCGTTGTTAGCTCTGGGCAGTGCCAAGAATGGAATAAATTCTAAGAAACGATCCAATTTCAATTTTGCATCGTTGAATTTTGCATGATTCGTAATCGGCGACCCCAAAAACCATTGTATACAAAGTTTCACAAAAAATGGTTCAATAGGAAAATGTATGCTTCAAAGGGTTAATCATTTAACATCACCTTTCATCCGTTAAATCATCGAAGCCTGTTCGCGAGAAGAATTGAAAGATTTTTAATTATACATGCGCTGTTGGCAATTTTTAACAATATACATACGTTTCGCGAAGGTGGAAACGTATTGTTTAGTATATGAAATTTGCGTGTGAATTTCTTACACTTAAACATCGGATCGCAAACTCGCGTATAAGTTTTATGACGTATGTACATTATAGATCTGTACTTACGTCGTCCACGTCCCAGCCCTCTTGCTGCCAAAAGTAACAGCTGACGAAAGCTGCGGCCACGACCGCAAGCGGTCCGGCGCCACCAAGCTCGATCGCCTCGCTGCCGAAAACCGCCAGCAGGCCACCCCCCAGTAGCATTAGCACTCTTAGCGGCACTAGGAAGGGCTACAACATTAGCACATAAACGAAGCGTTAGGACCTAATAGAAAGCGCCGTGTCACGATTACGAAGTGATTTATCGATTTCATTACGAAAGATAAGTTTCGAAATATGGGCTCCTCCCTTTGATATACACTCGCTTGATATAAGAGCAAATGCTGTAGTTAGGCAACAGCATTAGAGGAGGGGGGGGGGATAAATAAGCTCGTGTAATGCGCTTTGAATGTTCAAACAGAGATTATCGCGCCAACTTTTCGTGCTCTTGCAACGAGACTTCGTAAGAACCCTGTTAAAACAAATATAATGGAAATCGGAAATTAAGAGAGATCGATTTTGAATATTTCGTAACGCCCCTGGGAATCCCGTGCCAAGGGGGTGTTCGCTCCCCCAAAGTGATATAAACTTAGCGAGCAAATTGAGATTTAAATAGCATTTGTGAACAAAGCAGCGGCCTTAAATGCATTCCTCTGGAAAATACATTCTCTTGACCTGGTGCGCGTTGTAACAGTTTAAGTTTATCCGAAACCAGATAAATCAGGTTACAGTGAGCTAAGAATACTGCAACCACCGCCGCAGTGCAACGGCGCTAATCCTCACGTGAACGATACTTTAGATGCGACGAGGTGGCGATGCAGTAACCAAGTACCTGTCGACTCCCTCGTCGAGTCCGCGCACCAACATTTAATTCACCCCCCGAAACCGACGTTCCCAAAGCTTCCCGAGGTCCCCGGGCAAATTGAATTGCATTTCAAATCTTTTCGCGATCAATCTTTAGGGGGGGAAAAAAAAGACAGCAGTCCATTTTGGGGCCCACAATTAGTAATCGAATTATTTGGATTGTTCGTAACTCTAATCTTTCGCGAATTTTTCCCCGCGTAACTAAAAATCGCAATTAGCTATTCTATCTATATTCAAAATTTTTAAGTAATACTAATCAATTCTCTCAATTAGTTCTGTCGGTATTCAGTAACGCAAAGGTAATTTTTACTTAAGAGGCACTAACCAAAATGTTGAGTTGCTTAACTAAAAAAAAACGGTCAAAATTTTTCCCAGAGTAGAGTTACGAACACTCCAAATAATTCGATTGCCAATTGTGGGCCCCACAATGGGTTGCTGTCTTTTTTTCTCCCGGAGACGAGGGGAAACGGCCGGCGTCGCCGGTAGATCGCTGGTGACGATTCTCGTTCAAGTGCGCATCGTCGGAAAAGTATCGCGACCGTATCGTCTCGAGAAATGCCGCTCGCAAAAGGGATACATCGCTATTTCAGTCACGCCACTATCTCCTCCAACCGAGAACTAATTCTAACTTTGGGCGTCCCTCACTTACAACCTGTCGAGGGCGGCTCTATTTGCGCGCAGGACGCTTACGCTAATTATAAACCACCTCCCGATTCTTACATTAAATATGAACGCGTGTCCCTAAAGAGACCGACGTTACGAGTGACTTTTGAGATTTGAAAAAGGTAAATGCCACGTAATAACGGGGAGGAGCGAAGATGTCTGAAAAGTACGTTCCACTTTTGTCAGGTGAGGGCTTCGGATTTCTTCCGGAGATCTCTCGCTAGTAATTTCTAGCGCGATTAAACCCGTTTCGAGTGCCGTCGAGCGCGGGAATGTAAACGTTTTCCGCCGCTGAAAGATACTCGGCGGTTTGCGGATGCAGGGATCTCTGGTACACCGATCTCCGGTACACAATTCATAAAGTGTTTACAGGATTTTCACGGCCAGACGATAACCGCATAAGTGGATTTATCCGGCGATAGTAGATTTATTCGGATTTGCGCTCATGTGTACTCCATCCCCGGGCGAGTGCTTACGCGGTATGTAGCGAGATCTAGCGCGGGCGCGAGGGAGATTCATCTGCGCGGCGCGCGGTGTGGGGTGAACGACTCCCCGCCGGTTGACCCTATTTCCGCCGCAACCCTTTATTCTTATACCTCGCGCGCTGGAACAGTCAATTTGCGATCTCGCGCAATCGGACGCGACCCATATGCGCGTATACGATTGCAACGCGAAGCATGTTAATTTCACCAACGATCTCCACGGTCTGGCGACCGGGGAGGATCTTTCCTGCTTTTCCGAAATCTCGGAGAGACCGGTGCTGTTATTTTTTTTGGTTTTCAATAACGTCGCTCGTATCTCTCGCGCGCGAATCTCCGAGAATCGAACGGTGGGGAAAATTTTCGAGGGCAGCGGAAAATGTACGCGCCGCTGTGTTACATATATTGCAAACTTTAGCCCGCGCCCTCTCGAAGGCACGTTTTTCCGCACCGCGGCTGACATAACTTGCGAACGGCGGCTATAAGGTTGCAATTTAAGGGGGACGTTCAAAACGCATCTGCGGCGTCGTGCAGAGACTCCACGTCTCTCCGCGCCGTGTGACACCTCTCCGGTGTTCGATGCGCCCGGGAGTAAGTAATTTTTCTCTCTCTCTCTCTTTCTCCCTCTCTCCTTCCTTGTAAAAATTCTCGTTCGTGCATCCCGACACGCCCGCGTTCGAACGATCGTAGAAACGTGGTTCGTAGAATCGTAATTCTCAATGCAGTTTGCAGCCGGCGGCTGCCGGGAGAGAGAAAGAGAGAGAGAAAGAGAGAGAGATAGAGAGAGAGAGTACTTACGTCGCCCTTCTCCGGCACGTATTTGGCCAACCAGCCCCACATGATGCCGAATCCCAGACCGCCGATAATCGCGATGGGCCCCTGAAGGATCTGGTACCACAACGCGTCGTGAGAAAACATGACGCTCTTCACGATACCGAAAACCGCCACGGAAGCCGCATCGTCGATTCCGGCCACCGCGATGATCAGCGTCGGAATGCCCTGAAAGTACATCGTAGGGTCGTTAAGAAAATTCATGTTACGTTAAGAGGATGCTGGAGTGCTTCTACACCCTTTGCACTTTTTGCATCTAGAACTGTCGATTCGTGAAAACAATTTGTGTAATATACAAATTGTGCGTGGCCTTTGTGTGCAGACCGACAGTGTTCCACTAATCGGACTAAATCAGAGAACAGCATGGTTTCGTTGAAACAAAGTTTGAAACGCTAACAAAAAATCTATTCACTTGTAATTTATGTTCACAGGTAACCTATGACTTATTCAAGTGAATAGATTTTTCGTTAGACTGCTAAATTTAATTTCATCGATACCATGCAGTTCTTTGATTTAGTCCGTTTAGTGAAACACTGTCAGTCTGTACGCAAGAGCCACATAATTTGTAAGATGGATGATAGAAATGTAGTTAAATTTACTATTATTTTGATTGTATTAAATTTTTTAAATAGTTGGCATCACTGTGTCTATATGGTTGCTATTACTAATATTATAGTAATAATAACAATAAAAATGATATTCCTGACTATAATTATTTTATTATGCAATTATAGTTTCAAATACTACATATTTTTCTATCAGTGTGTGTAATACACTAATTATAAGGCTTGTGCGTACAGATCGAAAGTGTCCCACCATTCGGACTAAATCAGAGAACAGCGCGGCAGCATTGATATTAAGTTTAGAAGCCTAATAAAAAAATCTATTCACTTATGCCTTATTTAAGCGACTAGATTTCTTGTTAGGCCTCTAAACTTAATTCCAATGCTATCGTGCTGTTCTCTGATGTAATCCGAATGGTGGGGCACTCGGTCTGTACACAAAAGCCATGTAATTTGTACGTTACACAAATGAATTGACATTTCTATGAGCAAAAGGTGCAAAATGTGCAGAATCACTCCAGCATCCCTTGCACTTTTCTTTACACCACCGAATGGGACCGACAATTAATCCGCAAAAAAGTGACGATTCGTGTTAGCGATAATCACGGAGATATTTTCGCGAAACAGTTACATAAAAAAGAAAGAAAGAAGGGAGAAAAGGAAACACACCAGACGATTCTTTAAGTGCTCGCCTCAAGATACGGGATTCGGTTTACATGCAGTTCGTTAATGAGAATTTTTTTTATCGCCACGCTTGTGGAACGAACAGATTTCGAGCGACTTCAAAGTGATTAAGAAACGCCTGCACGAACGTACGGATAGACCAAAAAGAATCTTTTTCCGGAAGTAAGACGGGCGATAGAGCGATGCCGGGGGCTAACGAAAAAGAAAAGCTGCAAAGAGGAGAGAAAAATCAGCTCTTTCTAACTTGGTGTTCATTAGAACGAATAAAACTTTTCTCTTCTCTTATTTGTAATGACACAGTTTCGGAGGCTATTTGGTATCGTTGTTTCGTTTTATCGACGACATTTTGCGTTACATTTGTGACTTTTATGCAGAATAAATAATGAACAGAGAAAATGGAGAGAATCGGATTCCCTTGATTTATAATATTCTTCATTTATTCGTTCACTTTATCCTACGTTTAATTACAGCTTGAAAATGATCCGTTTATTAAATAAATACCACGCGTCGTGTAATTTCAGATATTATGAAAATACGCGAGACCGCGCGAGCGCCCATATTATTCCGCGAATAATCAACGGGTATACAAGTTGAAATCGCGAGAGCGATCCATCGGGGAGCCCGCCGAGGAATGCGGGCGGTGTTGTCAGTCGACCTAGAAAAATAATCCGCGGGAGAGAATCAAGATATTTAAGGTCTTGCGAGACAAAGACGTCCGAGAGAGTCGGAGGGAGAGGGCGAACCCAGACGAGGCTCTCCGTCGAGAATGGTCGACGACACTCGAGCACGATCCTGGCGCGGTCCCGGGCAGCGTTATCGGTGTCACGATAGCTCGTTCGGGGATTTAAGTCCGCCGACTATCGCGATTCTCGGAGTTGGACTACTTACTACACGGGGGGAGGCGAGAGGAGGAGGGAGACGTCTAATAGATCGCGGCGCACGATCAGCGGAGGGAGGTCAGCGTTCGAGCGGTTATCCTCCCGCTCGTCGCGGGCCCGCGCCCCGTGGCGTGGGGTGCATGCGGATATTCGTAGGACGCTCGTGAGCCCGCACGACCACGATCGGTCAACGTCTCGTCGTGAGACGTTCCGTCCGCGACGCGATAAGAATCCGCGATTTCGCGGCCGGCGCGGGTACTTCCCCGGGTCCGCCGCGCTCCCGCGGATCCGCGCGTCACGTCGGGACCGTCCGCCTCCGCCGCGTTGCATTACGTTCCGCCAAATGAAGAAGTATCGCCCGGGATCTCTTTCGGAGCTCATGAATATCACATTCGCCGCGATGGTCTTTGTGCTCCTCAAGCATCTTCCGCTCCATTTTCCAAACTGAATTATTTAAGTCCGCGGCGCGTTTCTCTCCCCCCCCCCTCCCGCGTCTTTGTTCCGCCGCGCGGCTCCCGGCCCCTTCGTATCGCGCCGAATCGCCCTTCGCGCCCTTCTGCGAATTCGCGTGATCCTTCCGCCGCGGCCTTCCGACGCGCCCCGTAATCAGACCGAGGAGGGAAGTCACGTGCGATCGCGTGACGACAGCGGGAGGCCCGCGAGTCTGGAAATCTCGATTCGTCGGATCGCGAGGCGAAGGCACACGCGGGAGATAGCGGGCCACCGCGGACTCGCGAGATCGGTCTCGCAGGAACGATATTCCGCACCGGCTGAAACGGTTTCACGGCTATCGTGAAACACTGGCGCGTAACGGGACGAAAGAAACTTAATTACTCTCGCGCTGCGTTCATTAACATGGAAATCCCTCTAATACGCTAATGTCGAGCGCGTCAAACATAGCGGCCGCGCACACCCGGGCCGCTATATAAATTCGCTTTACCCGCGTATTCGATTAATATAAAACATGAACCGCGATGTAATCCAATTACTCGGGCAATTATGATTAAATATTAATTTAACGACTCGCGGTACCGGCGCCCGCTGATACATAGAGCGATATTTACTTTTCTAAACGCTCCCAAAGCTCTGCCCCCTTCAATTACCTCCTCGCGTAAATTTTATAATCGCAGGGAACCGATAGAATTGCAGTTGCATTTGCGAACGGATGTGGCGGAGAAAAATGTGCACTGCCGTATCGGAGGACTGTAAAAAAAAAGAAAGAAAGAAAAGAAAAGAAAATAACGGCGCGTCGATACCTCGGACGACGGTAAATCTCAATTATTCTTAAGGGAAAATTATGTTAACTCCGGCACATTTATCATCCGCTTAGTCTAGATCTAGTATAAATCTATTTTACTACCTAATGCACGGAAGCCGGGCGAAATTAGTTCCAGGAGACTTATGATCGTTCTTACGAATGAAAGGCGAGAGATCTCGCGACGGGTGAATATTCAAATATTTCAACAAAGGACCGGGAACAAGCGGCCTTACCTTTGCGACTCCGTAGCCCTTGCTGCGCAGCCTGAAGAGGCAGGGCACCACGACGGCGGGCGAGACAGCTGCTATGACGGCTCCGAGGAGGAAGCCCCACACCCAGGGCAGATGCAAGAGGTATTTCGTCGATATAGCGACCACCGTGGCCTCCACCATCCACGGTATCAAGCCCAGCTTCGGCACGGTGACTCTTAATTTTCTCAGAGCGTTCGGATCGAGGTCCAAGCCCGCTCTGGTGAGTATGATAACCAGGGCGACTTTCCTGCAAAGAGGGGCACGATGACGAAAACGCATGATCCGCTTCGGCGCGTGCGGAGTATCGGCATAGTGCTCTGAGGAAAAAAGTTGGCAACCCATTTCGGGTTGCCCGCAATTAGTAATCGAACTAATTGAATTGTTCGTAACTCTACGTTTTTGTAGTTGAGCAACTTAACGTTTCGGTTAGTGCCTCTTAAGTGAAGATTGTCTTTGCGTTACCGAATAACGACAGAACTAAGTGAGAGAATTGATTAATGTTACTTAAAAATCTTGAATATAGATTAGAATAGTTAATTGCGATTTTTAGTTACGCGGGGTAAAATTCGTAAAGGATTAGAGTTGCGAACAATCCAAATAATTCGATTACTAATTGTGGGCCCCAAAATGGGTTGCTGTCCTTTCTTCCCCAGAGTATAACTACACCCACAGAAAAAAATTTCCGGATCCAATGCTATTACACTTGAATGTATCATAAAATAGGATCGATGTAGCGCCAATCATATTTGTTATAGAGAAAGGAATATTTTAATCTCAAATGAAAAATTCTCAAATCTAGAATAAAACGATAGCATGTATCGTCTTTTGTCGAATATCGCGGTGCAAACTTCGTGCGTTGTAAGATGGAGGGAAAATTTATTCTAAACGCAAGAATATATTAAGTTACTCTTGTCTCAATATAGTAAGTCAATCTTTTTTAATTCGATAGAGGAGAATAAGAATTATTGATTTTATTTTGATATGGTCTTACTTTTTTACTAAATGAGATTGTGAGAAATATAAATGCGTCAAGAATATTTTTTGTCTCGGTAACAGAAATCCTTTCTGAGGGTGTAGTAGTCCACTCTCTCTCTGTCGGCCCTTTGATCTTTTCGGTTCCGATCACGTGGTACTCCACCATTATTTTGGACAGCGATCCAGCTGCGTGTGCGTATGCGTGTTGTTATTGGCAGGTTGCAGCTGAGAGTTCGATTGCCGCGGAAGAGGAATATCTGCCCCCCCCCCCCCAAAAAGGGAGTACCTTCCCTTGACGCCCGAACAGGAAGCTTCTCTGTCTTCGCGAAAGTAAAACGTGCTCTCTGACCGCCGCATATTTTCAAGTTCGATACAATGTTCGGCGTTCGAGGACGGGAGTTAACCAACTACTTTGCGAAGGAGAAAAGGGTGAAGGGACGGCGCCGTGCCTTTCTGCAATTCGTATGTCTTCCGAGGCCTCGCATCCGCGAATCTGGGACGCGCGACGAAAGTTGGCGCGGACGCGCCGTGTCCGCGCCGCGCCGAGCCGCGGGCTTACGATGAAAATTCAGGTGCGGGCGATCGTTGAAGCCTAGGTTGTCCCGAACTTTCGAAAACCCGTTTAGGAAAGGCACACCCTCCGAAACTTATCCTATTACGAGTTTCTCTCCCGGCGAGAGAAAGGTTTACGAAGTCGCTGCACGGGCGGCCGTGCATTTTGCACGCGCCGTGACGTCGCGTCGCCTTCCGATCGCAGGGGAAAGCATCGAATTTACATCGATATAACGTCTAGCGTACCTATCTCTCCTTCCTCCCTGACTCGCTGTTTCCTCTCTCTCTCTCTTTCTCTCTCGGTATTTTATTAATATTATTAATTATTCCCAGTGTAATATTCCACATGGGTATAATGTTCCAACTGAAAAATGTTATTTCCCGGATCTTAATGCCGCGCATGGGTTTTGCATTTAATTATAATTATTTAAAGGCAAAAAAATCACACGCGAGAAGATTAGCATCGTTATTATGTACATTGTGCCGTTACATTATACACTGAAATGAAACGGCGCGGCCCTTCAGCCGCGCGTGTTTTAGCCTCGAATGAATAATAATCTTCCTTCCACCTTGCGTCGCGATACGGCAATGGAGGATTTTTTTTCCCCATTAATTAAAGTACGATGGAGAAAGGTTGCGCCATGTTAATTTAATCACTCTCCTGGCAGAAGGGTTAATTCCCGGCGGTTTGTCAATCACTTTAACCTGTGCGGCGGGGGCCGCGGCGAGTGATAAAAATAATAATCGCGACACAGTATGGACTCCGGTAGTAAACCATATATACGGAGGGATCGCGATAATTGGTAATACCGCATACGTTTGCATAGCATTTCGCGAAGCGCGAAATGCCCGTCTCGATGTTTGCTTAATTGTCATGTAATATAACGTGACCAACGCGGCGAGCGTATGAAACATATGGGCGATCCGTATGACTTCATGATTATGTAAACGAAAATGAATATTTGATTATATAGACATAATTCAGTACGGCGCGGATGCCCTCGCTGGCGTTTCATTTAAATTGCAAAGCGCAGTTGTTTGGCACGCTGGATATCGAATTAACGCGTAGAAATTTCAATCTTCAGTCTTTAGGCTTACGGCGTATCATTACGCCCGATTTCCGACGAAGCTCCTCCCGACGAGGTTCGTCATTAAGGCCGAATCAGACTAACAATTGCCGACTCGGATTGCATCGGGATTGGCGATTCACGATTGTCCTCTAGCCAATGAGAGTCGATTAAATCGCTGGCCGCTTTGCTCTCACTGGCTGGAAGACAATCGCCAATCCAATCCCGCGTCGACAATTTGCTAGCCCGATTCGGCCCTTACGCGAACAATTATCGCGATGATCTCGCGATCGACGAAACTTGCCGCTATCAAATACTTGCGCGTCGTCGGAGGATCGAATCGATTAGAATGGAAAGGCTATACATGTGGCAACATTACATGTTTAAGAAAAAGGAGAAAACTGCTTTACAAGTGCACTATGAATTTTTCAATAGATCTTATGCTATTATGTTCTGAAGAGGGGACTCTTTAAAGTAAGATTTCATTAAAAAAAGTTTTTTTTAATACTTTGGCTTTACGTCAAAACAAGAATCCATTGTTAATTCAATTTCAATAAAAGCGCCACGTGTCCGCTCTCCGTTCTCTTTGGTTCGATTAATAAACTCTGAGCAGTCGTCAAGAGATTTCACGCGAGATTTAACATCCAGTCATACGATCACTAACTCTGGGTTTTCTAGTGGATTAAAAGTGATTTTGCCTCGAAGACGACTCGATAATCGCGTGCCACATAATTTACGATCGACATCCGCGTTAGTAAACGAGCGCGTGTTAACGGAACCGTCGCTCTATACTCAGAAGGATTTTGCGAAGAGACAAAAGTCTCGGTCTCTTCACTCACGCCGCCGAGGGAAGCAATAATAGCACGATAAAATATTCTTATGTGCCAATTATATAATAATTTGAATATATAAATAATTAACGATCATTTTTATAATAACAAATTATCGAACCTTGGAATTATATTTATGTAGAGATTTAATTATCGAATTATAGATTTAATTGTAGAATTATAGAAGCCTATAATTACTCACGACATGATTAAGAGACACGGTAGTGTCTCATGCCAAGTATAAGTTAATTAATAACAACAACTACATTCAATATCTCCAAATAAAAACCGTAGTTGATTTCGATTTCTCTTTCCTATTTTGGCAATTTTCATCTGGTTGCACGAACTCGTAGACAGGTGTGATTTTAACCGACTGACATCTAAAAAGTACAATCTCATTGGGATCGTGTCAAATAAAAGAAACACGAGTCCTGAAATAATAATATGTTCCACTAGTTTTTCCGATTAGCTAATGTATGGACAGTGATGGACAGAATGGTTGCAACACTCTTTTTTTAATGAGTTTAAAAGTATGTGTTTAGATCCGAGTTACGTTCCAAAATCTTCTTCTCCGAGGAATATTTTGGACTCGACGGCCATTCCGAAACCATTTCGAGCGTTTCCGATCTGTTTCTCGAGTAAAATGTTCCTCGGAGAAAATGTTTCGAAACGTAAATCTGGATCTAAACGCACCTTCCTGAACTCATTAAAAACAGTGTTGCAACCATTCTGTTCATCGCTGTACTACGTACACTGATGATCAAATCAGATGTGCCGAAACATTTGTACATATTGTAATTGATAATTATTCTAGCAATTAAAATCCTGCCTAGGCTCTACAAGCTGATTAGTTCGATGTAAGAGTCATTAAACAACCCTACCATTATTTAATTTAAAATCATCAAGTTTTACGATATTAACAAAGGCATCTGCTCTCTGTTCTTACGAGTACAAAAATAAGTACATTTATTTATTTATAAAATTATCTTCGCCAAGAGAAAGTGTAAAAAGTAAATCCCTCTCTCTATGCGAGCGCGATAGAGCGGAAAATTTGAATTATTAAATTACTGCGTATCTGCGGCGAACACCGTGCCGCTTTAACATTGCAAGATCCAAGAGGATTATTTTCAAAATAAAACTGAAATATCCGGAAGGACACCTTCTAGCGGAAAATTGTAAAATTTTGTAAAAATTGTGCCGTATGCGCGTGTCGCGAGAATATTTACGGGAGACTCGCACTCGGCGCTACGTCTTATCGACGTAGAAGCACGAGAGTCTCTTCAGAACGAAAAAAATACGCGAAGAAACGTACGACGCAGCTCGCAATGCTGAGATATCGCGACGAACGGAAAGTTTTCGCGAACAAATGGAGGAAATGATTGTGAGAATTTTCTTTTCTCACGCTCGATATTGAAAAATGTGTAGTTGAAGCGTAACACGAGGTATACAAATGCTAACTAATATTTTTGTTGCGCAAGGTTTCTCGAGCCAACTTCGCCAGGACGCTCTTATTGCGGAAATTCCGTCGATATTTTTAATGATTGGAAAATTGGAACTGCGTACCGAAAAACACATCGGATACAATACACCGTAACGGTTCACGCTGTCCCGCTTCGCAGCTATCACATGTCGGTCGTTTCCTAATAACTGACGGTAAATTGCACATGTCAATAAGCGTCCGACCGCGGTTTGATCACTTTATTAGTCTTGCAGTCGATGTGGACCGCGGCTTCTGGGGATGTTTACGCGGACATATACAGGGGTGGCTTCGCTTAACCGAACGTGTACGCAAATCGCTTACAACGCGCGGCCTATGTTTGCTCGTATCTAGCTGCATTTAGCTTAGGCGTACACGACCTCCCCGACGATGCGCGTAAACGCATCGCTAAAGCTCCGGCGTTACATTTAATCCGCGCGTGTGACAGAGCATTATCGACAGCCCCGTCAAAAACGCGACCGTCCCCCCATTAGTTCAATATGTTCCATGTACGATTTGCATAATGCGAAAATTCAAGGACCATCCTCGAGATTAAGAGACAAGACCCCGAGAAGTCTGTACAACGTCACCTCGCCGCGTCGACTGCTTAATCTTCGTGTAATTTTGGCATTATCTTCCAACCGCGATGAATAATGAATCGAAAGCGGGAGCAGCGACAGGCGAAATCACGTGGAACAAATGTGACGGACGAGCCATTGAAGAAATCGTCGAATCCGGAAACTTATATGACCGGCTTCCTAAAAACGTATCCAATCTTTCATAGCATCTTCAAGTGTAATTTGTCGTGCTTTAATATACCGAGAGAATGTTCTCTTAAAGTTTAGCCGGACAATCATATAATCGAGGGATAACGTATAGTAAAATTTCAAAAAAATTCACAACCACATGATTTTCAGGAAAAATTTGAAGAGAAAGAATTGAGAGTTTTGTAAAATTCTTCGAAATGCCACGTTGTCCCACGATTACATGATTTTCAGGATAAACTTTAAGGGAAAATTCTCTCCGCGTATCAGCAGTATATTTCGCAATACTGGCAGTAAATCAACTCTATGTCGCTGTTAAACAAATTTGTAAGTTACATGATTTTATATGGCCACGAGTTCTCATTCCTCTTGCGTAGCCCGCCTTTAAACGGGATCTCGTTTCGCACGCTACTAAAAATTACATCCGTGTAAACTCCTTATCGTGCGATACTTATCAATAAATCTGAGCGTATCGATAATAAAATGGATCAGGAGATTACGGAGATATCGTTGCAACCTCGAGAAGAAAAAGGCAATGTGTTTACTTGTGCTACGAAATGTCGAATGCATATTGCGATAAGATGCAGAAAATATTATGCGTTCGAGGCGCATACTTTCTTCCGAAAACCCTAAAAAAAAATTCTGGAAAAGGAAAAGAATATAATATCGCCGAGCGTAAGCGTTAGTCTTGAAATTTATCCAATACTTTGTATTTTATCTAATACTTTGAATTTTATCTAAACGACCAAATAGTTCTCTTGCATATTTCGCAGCGCAGTTTTTCGATAATTAATTAAAAAGTGTATACGTTACTAGGATTTGTATTTAACGTATCAAAAACTGCGTGAAGCAATTGGTTGGTCTTTAAAAAAATTCAATCGGCTGTCTTTTCGAATCTTATCAGAATTTATAAAAGAGACTCGCAACGACCGCCATGAGCTAAATGTAATAACAGAATTTTTCCCTTTTTTTTAACAAAAGAGTAACATTTCGCCGATCGCCGATAACCAGTGAAGCGGTCGATTAAATTCTTAACAAGGTCAGCTATAACGTTTTCTACGGTGACCCATGGCTCGCATTAACGATTCTAGCTGCGTTCCTCTGTCATTAGTAGGCTATTCGAGTCATGAGGCGAGTTTGACCAATCGGAAGGACGATGATCGAGCAAATTTAGACACAATGTGGAAAATCTATTTCGAAACGGGAGGAACAGAAATCTTGCCGCGGCAATCGGAGATAATAGACGTAACGATGATAATTGCTGTCATTTCATATTAATGAAATCATTTATTGGAACGCTCTTTCACTGCTCGTTATCAGCACGGGAAATTTCACAGGGCGTCGCTCACTAAAGGATAATTCAAGCTCAGTATATTCTTCTTCGTACGTTAATTCGTAATACATGTTCGGTAAGTTGCTTATCGTAAGGCGGAAATTTAACGGAATCTAATGGTCCACTTGCAAACTAACTAATGTCTCAAACGTGCGCGGATTAAGAAGTTATAATCCCATGGAAAACTAGTTCTAAAGATTGCCGAAGGAGACAAAGTCGACGGGTTTCGTCAACTTCGGTAATGACATCGCGATGACATCGATCAGCGCGGAAAAGTGGGTCAAGTACACGCGTCGGGAAGTTAAAGGATAATTTGCATACTTTTTATACCTAAATGCGTCCCGTTGAAACTTTAGTTTTACATTAACATAAGCGAATTGTGCTGAAACAAGTTGTTCATCTTCTTTTCCCTTTGTTGTCGGAGAACGCGCGGCAATCGCGCCTAAGATCAAAGGCTCACGCAGCCTGCTGATAGACGATTATAGATAAATACGTTCTCCTATCATAAAATATGGGGAAACCTTGAAGTGCCGTCGCGCGAGGAAAAGGCGGCCGACGACGGCGGGAAACTCGACGGATCTTATCCGACCCTTTTGTCAGCGGCATTCATTAGCGTGGATGCGGCTTGAATTTGATTGCCGCTAAAGCCACGCTTGTTATGCCGTGCATAGAGCCATCGTCGTGCGTGTCCACGTCGCGATTCGCAGCAGTTAGACCTCGACCTTAAAAAGCGGCCACCTCGCGATCGCGATGAGTTGATCGTTACTCTCGGAGACTTTCGAGGGACCTTCGAGTAATCGTCATCATTGTCGTCGTCGTCGTCGTCGTCGTCGTCGTCGTCAACAATGACACGTTTTTCCAATAATGACACGTGAGTAGAGATAACGACTGTTCTCAATGAAAAAGCGATTTAACCGGTTCAACCTCGAGTTTACGTAAGAAATTGGTCCATCAAGAGTTCTCTATGTTCTCCTATGTTTCTGTACTTCGCGTCCGCCAAACGAAATCCGATCCTCGATTTAAAGTAGCGATTAACTTCACAATTATACAATTATCAGTCAATTTTTAATAAAAAAGAGAGAGAGAAAGAGAGAGGAAAATTTTAAAAGGTTTATTTCCCATTGCTTGATATCTCACATGACGAAAATTTTATGCAAATGTCGATTATCCAGTAGGTCAAAATATTCATCGAAAGAATTAAATTACTATTTTATCGTTCCAAAAGTATCATTTTTCGGATAATCGCCGTATTTCATCTTTAAAATCCTCATCTTTCACCTGTCGAGTCTGGAATTCACACATTATTATTTTTGATCGAGGTGACCTCTTCTATTTCCGTTAAATAAATTTTTAAATGACCTTTTACTATAAAAATATTCCCTAATTAGGTTAATTCGGTTTATGAATTAAATTTTTTTAATCGATTAAAGTAAAATGAGTAATTTTGCGAATTTAACAGAGTAACGTAATAAAATCCAAATGAAATTTTCAAATATACTTACAATTGGCGCACGTTAAACTAACTGATAAATATACTAATATCCCTCCGCAATTACCCCATTACTGAAATATTTTCGTATCAATGTCGAAATTAAAATTGAAGAGATCGTCGCCGATATCTGACAATCTTTGCTGGCACTTCGGGGACACGTTTTTCGTTTCAGCTGGAAATAACCAGATACCCGGCAAGAACCTTACCTCGGGAATTTCGGGAAAACTCTTTGGAAATTGTACGAAAGCAGACTCACCGTAGATTGGAGACCACCATGGTGTACTGTCCCTCGATCTTGACGAGCCCGACGTTCTGCAATATTAGACCGGTAATCAGCATACCAATCAAAGTCGGAAGAGTGGTCAAGGAGATCAGCCAACCCCCGAAATGCGCGGCGATGCACAGGGCGGCCAATCCGAAGAGCTGGCCACCCGGGGCGGCGTCATTGCCGATCACCGAGTAGGCGACACCCCAGAGCAGCAGGCCCAAAAGGAAGAGGCACAGAATCCGTGCGAACTTCCTATACGTTGGACAGAACGGCTGCGGACACGCTCTTCTCCAGCCTGGTGGCTCCCACGATGGCGTGTCGTCGCGACCATGACATCGCGAGCAAAATAGATACAGCCACGACCTGGAAGAGACATAAATGAGATGAAGAGCGCGTTGAAACTACGGAACGTTGAAAATGGCCAGTGCTCTTTCGGTTTTTCCTCGCTTTCTACTTTCTATAAATCGAAGATCGAAGACCGTAGGCCGGTTTATTTTCTATTGAATTAATGCGCGAGCAGAAAACATGTTTTCTCTTGCAAAAACAATTATCTACAGGTAGCCGGGAGATTATCTGATGAAAATTAATCGTCTGGAATGCGTGCGATAGAGATCGCATATTGCACGCGAGGACGTCTGTCTTTTGATAAGAACAAAGATAAGAGTAAGTGCGAAACAAATGGAAAAACGTGCGTTACTGTGCGTTTTTAATCCAATTTGTGCCGCACACTGTGCTATCTGTAACAACAAATTCGAACCTTTTGTATAAAGCTATATTTTTAAAAGCCAATAATATTTTCAGTTTTATAATTTTTTGTTTGAAATCTCTCACTGCAGCTTTACGCAATACACGCATTTTGTAGTTTTTAGAGAACAGAGAATTACTTGCTTCTAATTTAAAACTAAAAATATAAGTTTCACACCATAATATTAACTTAACGATATGCAATAATACATTAAAAAAAAATATATATTCTTTACGTCAAAATGTTATCAAGATCAAAGAAATCTTGATTTTTAATTATGGTATATGGATAAATCATCGAGTGTTTTGGATGTAAATTCGTTGAATAAAAATCACATTAAAAAGCTGCCGTGTAATGCAATCTCCACTTGACATATCGTTGTATTATTCGCTCAGAACAAGTTTGCCTAGATTAATGCCTTCAAGTACGAACGTCAATAGCTTCAATCTACTCAGTATCCACTGGCTTATCCGCGAAGATAATTTCCAACTGTTAAACTAGCTTAGATTTCAATGTGATAATGTGATAACTAACGATTATTATGGTTATGTGTGATATCTGTCTATATGCCTTTGTCGAGCAATGCAACGGTTAATTTGGTGTGCGGCTTTACGCGGTAGTCTATTAGATTGCATTATGCTGTGTGTGCAATAATAATTTCGAGTTAACGAATTCGTTATAGAATCGAAAACGTGTATATTATAATTTCTGTTACACTCATTCATAAGTCGCAAAGAATTCATAATTTATAAACTAATCAATAATTTATTGCTCGCGCACTTCGAGCCGAATACTTTTGTATTATTCACACTCTATTATTCTGCTTATTATGTGCTAATAACTCCGTAATTGAGCTGCCAATTAATTTCTTGCTACCAGATAAATTCGATGTAAAGCTCACAAGGAGATCGCTGAAAAGAAAATGCAATAATTCTCTAAAGCACGTTATATATCACTTTATGGCAAATCGAAGAGTATCTTATAAATATTGATATTGGCATACATCTTAATCTTTTCCTATTGCGCAATTCAATTAAATCTTCAGCGTGTTTATCTCACAAAGGCATAAGTCGCGACTGACAGATTTTCTTAATCTAAAGATTACATTATTCGAATAATGACGTAACATTACAGGCAGAGAGATCTGTCCATAAAGTTACGTCATTGTTCACCTTTACGTTAAGAAATCTTATTTAGTCGCGTTTTCGCGAAAAGACAACTTGTTCGAAATCGCTCAAATAATGGAGGCCTCGGGAAGTAGACGAAAGAGAAGCGTTTAAAATTTTTTCACGTTGATAGCCGTTATCAAGCAAATGAAAATGGGCCGTGAACGATAAGGCCATAAAATAGGATAATTGATGTTGGTTGATGCATTAGTAATATAAATAGTCTTTGCCGGCCTTGTCGATATCTACAAATCAAGTAATGAATAAATCAACACATTTCTCTAGATTGCGACACAAAGAAGGGAGAACTAGAACAAGTTACACATTTCATTGTAGCAGTCAAAATTATTAAAACCACAAGAATCGTCAGTAAATATATATGGTATTTCCGATGGCAACTAACGCTTACAAAATTGTCGACGTTAAACAATCGCGCGGGGGGGGGGGGGGCGAGGGGGAACAAAAGCGAGAAGGACGATGAATGAAATCCGGAAAGTTCACTTTATCGAACTCCCGGAATGATTTCGATAAGCGACAGAGCGCTCTCGCGTCGGTCGAAACATATCTGCTAAAAGTCGCACCTAATTCGCGACGGTGTGACAAAAGAAAAGCACATAGTAATTGCGGCCTGTTGTCACTCATTATCGAGGACGCTGTTTACTTTCGCCGCAACGTGACTGATTATCACTGACCGTGCGGATAACGTGTGTCTCGCGAACGACACACCGTTTGTATTGTCGTGCCGTCGAATGCGATGATCGGCAAAAGATCGGATCGGCGAAAGAAACCGTCTTCCCAGACCTGGGTCCGATCCGGGAAAACTCGAGATACGGTCTAAACGCGCGGTTATCAGCGCCGCGGGTATCGGCAAATAGATAGACTTTGCGGGGTCTACCGAGATAATCGGGGTCTCACCTCTCGAGCTCCTCGGAGTACTCGATCTTGTCCCTGATCGAGCTGGACAGACTGTACGCCGATTTCTTCCTGTTGCCGTTGATCCTGCCGTTCTCCAGATCGAACTTGTACTGCGGAATGTTCTCCGCGCTGCCGCCGTGATGCAGGATCGACTTCCGCCTGCCCTGATCGGAATTGTGCTCCGAGCTCGCGCTGATGCGCCGGTGGTGCTCGAAGGCGGGATTATCGAGTCCCATGACTTGGTCGCTGATCGACACACGTCTCTTGGCCAATTCCTCGCTGGGCTTATTCGCTCTGCCGCCCATCTCGGTCTCCATTTTCCGCCGACGGATTGTCGATCGCTAAAAATTCTCGGACGGGACGTCGACCGGCCGAGCGGATCAAGTTCGGCCTTCTCTCCCTTTATGCCTCTGTACTCCTTTAATCCCTCTCGAATGCGGAAATGCGGACGACCGCGCGCGCGGACGAGTGCGCGGATCGAGCGATTGATCGGTCCCTCGCCTGGCCCCGGGCCAGGAGGCGACGAGCTCTCCTCGAAACTGATCCGTCCAGGTCCGCCGGGGACGCACCTGTCGATAGGGATTCACTCGCGCTATTGATCGCGATCGGGAAAGGCCGTAGCCGTGCGCGGCCGCTGAACGTACTACGACGATTCCCGGATCACGCGTTCGCCGCGTTAACGGCGATCGTTAGCGGGCGAGTCTCGTGACGGAGACCCCGCCGCGGGACTCGAACGGGAGCGGGAACGGCGATCGGCGGACGCCGACGCTAATGCGTTGCGACGATTGACGTCTTTGACACCTTGGCCCGCTTTTACCGGACCGTTTCTTCCTCGCGAGCGCGTTCTCCACCCGCAGACCCGCCGCGCTCGAATCAGAGGCTTTGTTCTCCTCGTTAGCGTTAGCGCGCGTAAGGTCCAACTTTTCCACTTGCTCTTCCGCCGTCCGCCCGAGCGGTTTCCGCGCGACCGAGCGCTCGGCGCGACCCACCGGCCATCCCGCTCGCGTTTTACGCCGCGGTGTAATTTTCAGCTCCTCGCGACGAAGGGGTCCCCTTCGACCGGACGGTACCAGGTCGTCGCGAGCGCGGCGGCGCGGTTAAGCAGCGACTAAAAGCGCGACTACGCGCCGCGGCAATTGCGGTGATGTTTATGCGCGGACGGTAGTGGGGTTCGTAAAAAGTCCGCTCTCGAGTCAAACGCGGGCGAGCGAGTGCGGACGGCCACGGCGGGCCGCGACGATAATTGTCGCGCGATGCGCACAGGATGGGCACAGCTGGCCACTTCATTGACGAGTCGGCAACGGTCCGCTGCGTTCCGCCGCGCCGCCGCCCGTCCTGAACGTCGCGGAACCGTCGCGATCGAGGGATCAGCCCGCCGGAAAGTTTCGGGGCCCTCGAGGTATCAACGGCGGATATTACTCAACGAGTATTCATCTGGTTAGCGAGCGCTGGTTTTCATTTTCCGACACGCCGCTTAAACGTGCCCGTCGACGAGTACGGCGGTAAACGCTTTCCCACCGCCGAAGGACAGTGCGGCGCGCAGCGGAGAACGAGAGGGCGAGAGGGCGAGATTGCTTTAAATTGCTCGCGCGGGTGTCGCTAATAATTCAGCGTCGCGCGCCGTAAGTGTCGCCTCTGTCCGACGTGTGTCAAGGTACTTGCGCGAGTCGGAATGAAATTTTCGATCCCGGACTTATCCCTCGTCAGAGGAGACAGCTCGGGGACGATTTTAATAACGGCCGAGCTTACTTATACGGACGTTCCTCCGACTCGAGGGGGGCCACCGAGGCCAGGAGCGGACGAAAAACGCGGACGTCCGCGTCCGAGCGTTTACCGATTAGCGAATTCGGTTGCTTGCACCGGTGCATGCTCAGTGCGCACTCAGGGTTCGTTTACGGTCAAGTCTTATATTTGAAGATTTGAAATGCCTCTTGAAAGACTTCTAAGGCCCGGTTTCACCAACGTTGCTTTAACTTCAAGCTTAGCTTAATTCGTCCTTTGTCTCTTTCCAACTGTTACTCTAGAAAGAGGCAAACTTGAGTTAAACCAAGATTAAAGTTAAGCAACGTTTGGTGAAACCGGGCCTTAGGTAGCACAGTGTAACTGGTAGGTAACATGATCTGTATAGCATCCATACGGATCATTTTTGGCTAAATACTCTTTGAACATATATTTGAGGCAAAGTTAATTATAAAAGTTGACTATAAACAGACCTTAGCGTGCAATCAGTGCGCACTAGTGCAAGCGACCGAATTCGCTATAAGACACAGAATTGACCCCAGATACCAAATGCGGATCAACAATTCGACGAGTCGATAATGAGCGGCATAAAAATACGTCGGTGCCTTTTATGATATCGACAACACAGCATGGAGTTGTAGAAGAGGGAAATTTAAGCGAATCGCTCTAAAACGTCGCTCATCAGCGACTCATCGAATTGTCGATCCGTGCTTGGTGTCTGATCCGAATTTCGTCACCTTGCTCTAGATATAAAAACTGACTCTGAACAAGCCTCGCTGTGCACCCAGTGCGAGCAACCGAGTTCTCTATAAATCATTATACGCGCACGATACCACGATACCACGAGAACGCGCCCGCTTATCTCGCAGGCGTCACCGCTCGATCTCTTCCGGGACCGGCGTACGAGACGCGGGATCGGAATTAACGGTTTTAATTGAACCTCGCATCCTTCGTTGATCTCCTTGATTTCTCCCACGGGCGATGTCCCTCTCGATTTAATTGGATGGAAGCGCGAACGCGAGAGACGCGCTCCCCCCTCTCTCTCTCTCTCTCTCGATCGCACTCTCGCGATCACTTACAAAACGATCCGGTGGATCGCCGGAGCTACGGCCGTCCGATCGACACGGTCACCACGCGATTACTACGTTCCCCATCGATAGATCACGCTCTTCCCCAAGCGATCTATACCGTCTATTGATTGAGAGCACGCAACGACACACACACACAGTGTTTCCCTTACTCCGTCTCTCTCTCTTTCTTGTCAATATTGTTGTCACGCTTCGTTGTCGCTTGTTTGGTTGTACGATTGTACGTAACTCCATTTAGAACTCCATCCATCGGAATTCAATTTATGGACGTCTCGACAATTCGGCCCGATAAAATGAACTTCCGGGCAGCGGCGTCGTTACACGATCGAAACTTGGCGGCTCCCGAGAATGCAAAGACCGAAATAACGAAATCCCGGGGGAGTCCCGCGAGGCGAGAGATCTCGCTCCATTTTTTAAGATTAACGCAATGTAACGCATCGCGAATTATCTAATCGCGTCAACGACAAAGTGTTTCAGTAATCTCGCCCCGAACGCCGATTATTCCGCCTTACTTTTACTCGTTAAGCGCTCGGCAAATTTATGAAGTTTAATTTTACATTAAAAACTGGCGAATTGAATCAGCGAAAGTCGGATGAATAGAATTGAACTCTTAAAGCGCAGGAAATTGCAAATTTCTATTTTAATTTATTTCTCCGCTGGTAGACGGGGAAAATGCAGAAGGAAGGAGGAGTCCGCTCATAGATGGAGAAGGAAATGAAATATGCTGAAGAGATGGTCGGCCGTGGAATACGCGTGCAGAAAACAGGAAGAATTTATAGGCGGCTCCCCCGTGCCCGTATTTATCGACCAAGTTCCGTCATTAACAAGACATCGCAATCGAGTTTAATGAAGAAAAAGGACCGAACAGACCCGGGGGGATCGTGAAATCGTTTACGGAGGAAAATTCACGGATCCGCGAAATATCCAACTTTCGGGAATAAAGAAAATAAATATGACTCGCGAATGCGACGAATTTCTGACATCTGGGAGTGACTTTGCGCTCTTTCTTATACAGCGACATTACTTCTTGTATTCGCCGTAACGTGACGCGTAATGTGGTGTTTTGCGCAAAATATCATGTATTTCACATTTTTTTTATATCACATCTGTCTGTGTCGTGCTCGTGAAAAATGTGCGCGGGAAGGAACGATACATCCACGTGCACCACGTGCTGACTTGTCGAAAGCGTGTATCTCTTTATTGCGAACAGGCAAAATGAATTCACCTTCCTCCAAGCTCCGTTGACACGTCGCGAAACAAATTTCTACTAATGATGAAATCGTACGCTTCTCGGGCACGCTTGCGGAAGTCGAGCATTGTCGTCCCTCGTTAACGCAGCGTTCTTATACGGCTCCATGCGTCGTGTGTGGATAATGCCCTCGTCGCGTAATCTGCAATACTGTTTAACCGATTAGATGTGAATAGGTTCACATTTGGCCTCTCGAAGGACTCTCTCTCTCTCTCTCGTGAGTGAATCTCCCGTATTAGGGAAAATTACGTTTCATCAGCCTCATTTAGTCGATCACGAGCGTTATGAGAGTGGTTAACAAATTTTTTTCATTTTTAAACCACTGCGCGAGCTTCTACGATATTTATGAGATATATCAAAGTAATAAAATACGAGATACAAATAATAATATATAATATTAATGTAAATAATAAAGTAAAAAATGTTTTGTCTTTTAAAATTTATCCTGAAAACCGTGCAATCGTGCGGGACAACGTGGCATTTCGAACAATTTTATAAGAGTCCCGTTGAAATTGTACCAGCAAAATGTATGGTAAAATTTGCCTGATTTCCAGGATAATAAATTTTAAGAGAAAATTCTCTCGGCGTACCAAAAATGTAATTTACTTCCCGGATAATACTGGAAAATATATAATTTACATTACTTCACGAACGTTTGAACTGTGCGCACCTTTTTTTCCAAGTAATAACGCATTTTCTCGTGCCATTTGTCGGCGCCGCGGACAATTAAAGTGAAGAGATATTCAATGTTTCAATTACGCTACGCAAACTGTGAGAAATTCGGGAACGGGAAATTAAAAGCGCTTCGTGCCTCGCATAGCTTTTTCATTTGGCCGCGCGGGGAAAATCGCGAAAAACCCGCGGCGCGCTTCGCCCGGCGCGGGCCGCTGCATCGCGGACACGGTGCCGCCTCCGCGCCCGTACGGCGGACATTCCGCGGCCGGCGAAGTCACGCGAGAAACGTCCGCGTCCCTCGGAAGAGCGCCCGGGGAGGTGGGAGGGCACGGAGGTGGAGGTTGCGCGAGAGACGAGGTCGAAGATGGGATTGGAATTGCAAATATCCCTCTTCTCCGTCTCTCCGGTCTCTCCAGGCTCCACCGATCTATCTCTTCGCTCCTCCTCCTCCGCCCGCTCGCTCTGACCCCGGAACGTGTACGAGCTACATATCGCCGAGCATGTTTTAAAGAATCCTCGCCGGACGACAAATCGTCAGATTTCACCGGATTTAAATTTGTTACCCCGCACAGCGAGCGAGCGGGTCGCTCCTCTCGCCGTTGTCGTCCTCGGGAGGACATTTTCTTTTAAAGCGGACCAAGGCCTCGAGCCGCGTGACATTTTAACACGCAAGCTGTTTACTTGTACCGCTCTTCTAATAATTTTAGCGCTCGTTTACGATCCGGAGCAGGTTGTAAAGTCCGATTGTCTGCGCTTACGTGGTTAACACACGGAAAATCCGGTTTCACTCCTCTTCAAATGTTAAAAGTTAGATTTGTTTATTTACGTTTACGCGCTGCGCGCGCTCTCTCCCTTTGTCTCTCCTTTCCGTCGAGCTCTTGTTTCGCGGAAAAAAAAAGA